GAAAACACAAAGAGTGCAATGGAACAAAACGTATAGTACAATTGCACTCGCAAGAGTGCAATGGAACGCATTCCATTGCACTCTTGGGAAATGGAATTTTCTATTCAATATCACGTGACCATAAACAGCCAATTAAACGATCAGAATTCAATAAGGTATTATATAATAACGACCATTATACACTGCTAATGATCATTATGCACTGCAGCTAATGACCATATAATGGTTATTTTACACAATGGTTGAGAATTAGGCAGTTGAGAATTGAGTCACAGTCCCAAACATTTTGACGAAATAACATCTTTATTTTCGGCAAGTTGTCCTTTCGGCAAACTGTCCGTTCGGCAAAATGTCCGTTCGGAAAAATGTCCGTTCGGCAAAACGTTCGTTCGGCAAAATGACCGTCGGCAAAATGTCCGTTCGGCAAAATGTCTTTCGGCAAAGTGTCTTTCGGCAAAATGTCTTTCGGCAAAATGTCCGGGTACCTACTCCCCCAGAAAATTTTTGAAATTTGACTCCCGGAAATGTCATTTCTTGCATTCTGAGCATCCAAATTTGCTCCAAAATTTATCCTAACTATACTTGTATTTGAAATAAATAAAGGAAGAAACGCACAAAAAGAAAAAAAATTAACCATCATTTATCATTACTTATTAGAGGAGGATAGTAATGGTCAGGTGTGTGGGGGTGTACTCCCCCAGAAAATTTTTGAAATTTGAAGCACGGAAATGCCATTTCCTGCATTCTGAGCATCCAAATTTGCTCCAAAATTTGTGCTAACTATAGTTGTATTTGAAATAAAAGATGGAAAAATGCACAAAAAGTAAAAAAGAATATTAACTGTAATTTATCATTACTTATTAGAGGGATAATCCCAAGAAAATTTTTGAAATTTGAAACCGTGAAATGCTATTTCCTGCATTCTGAGCATCCAAAAAATAAAAAAAAATATTAACAATAATTTATCATGGCTTAGTGTACCCTGGTTCCAGAGGTTTATTTCTATTTATTTTCATTGCGAAGGGGAGAGAAAAAATAAACCTCTGGTTGAAAGCGGCAATTGATTCATCGAGCCGCGCCAATCAGTTTGAATTAGGGTCAGATCCTGACTCTGTCTCCTGATTGGATGATTGTATTAAAGCTCTCTGATTGATTCAAATAAAACATCTATAACCAATCAGAGAGCTTAAATACAATCATCCAATCAGGAGACAGAGTCAGGATCTGACCCTAATTCAAACTGATTGGCGCGGCTCGATGAATCAATTGCCGCTTTCAACCAGAGGTTTATTTTAAACCTCTGGAACCAGGGTAGGCTTAGTGGTAAAAAAGTAACAATTTAAATCGATTTTGTTAAACAAGAACAAAGGATAAAGCCTAAAACTTACGTTCCGTTTATCTATTTGTTAATCTTCGCTGGATTGTTTGTATAATTTTAGGAAAAAGGGACTTTTCCTGGGGGGGGCAAAATGTGATTTCGTGGGGGGGGGGCACAAGGGGGGATTGGGGGGGGGGAAATGCCCCCCCCCAGCTTGTATGTTAAAAAAGGCCCTGCTACGCGTTGCTTTTGTTTTAAATACCTTGATCGCGTTAAAAGAGTTATTTCTCAGCCCAGAGACATAGTTTTCCACTAGGCGGAATTTTGCGCGCGGAGCGGAATCTTTCTTTGTCTTTTCTAATTAGTTCCACTCGAGAAATCACAAGACAAAATTCCGCCTAGTGGAAAACCGGCTTTAGTATTAACGTCCTTGTGATTTTATTGAGATAGAGCCAGAACTGAGTTTCAGAAAGCTTTATCTGTACCGAGTGCCAACAGTGGCGTAGCAAACTCGATAATTGGGGGGGCACATATTCATATATTCGTGTTCACTGACCTTAAAAACAACTGATTTCAAAAGAAATTAATAAGGCAAAACACGAATATATGAATATGTGCCCCCCCAATTATCGAGTTTGCTACGCCACTGAGTGCCAAAGTTGTAGACAAGAATGTTGTTTACGTCCAACACGCATAATATGACACAACTCAAAATGATTCGAGCAAAACCGGTCTTTTGTTAAAAGGTAGACTGGTTAATAGAAATTGGTATTTTTGAGTGACATAATCGTTTGTCGTCATCGATCCGTGCCGTTAAACAATAAAAAAAGTTGTCGTGAAATTAGTGAAGATAAAATTGCAGTTTGTAAGAAAACTGCAGGTCTACGGAGCGGGAACTTTTCAGATTTGAACTCAGCGTGTTCGATAGTGTTAGTTCCCGTAAGAGTATTTCAGTTCCAAGATGGGTGAAATGAAAGTGAACGATATCGGGACGTGGCAAACGGCCTATGTTAGAAAAGTCAGATAAAAAGTCCGCTCCGCGCGCAAAATTGCGTCTAGTGGAAAACCGGCTTAAGCCTGTTTTCCACTAGGCGGAATTTTGCGCGCGGAGCGGAATTTTTCTTTGTCTTGTGATTTCTCGAGTGGAACTAATTAGAAAAGACAAAGAAAAATTCCGCTCCGCGCGCAAAATTCCGCCTAGTGGAAAACGGCCTTTAAAGGTCTGATTCCACGAACGCATTTTCTCGGCGAAATGCGCATAATTTCGCCTGTTTCTTTTGAATTGTGACCACTCGAATAAATTATTTCTACTTGATTGCTCACAATTCAAAAGAAACAGGCGAAATATTTCGCATTTCGCCGAGAAAAAGCGCCCGTGGAATCGGACCTTAATACTTGAGTAGCGACAAATGATGTTTTATTACGCATGCCTATTATTATGTTTTATTACGCATGCCTATTCGATTAACTCGCGCGGGTTTAAGCTCGCGGCACTTAATGTGAGAAGCCTAGTAAATCGTATTGATGAGCTGCGAGTTTTGCTTGCTACTAGCCCGATCGATGTCCTAACAATAAATGAGACATGGCTTCATTCTACAATAAGCGATAACGATGTATATATACCTGGATACGAAATCATACGTCGTGACAGGGCATTTAGAAGTGCAGATGGAAAAACGTATTGAGGTGTTTGTTTTTATGTACGCTCCAGCGTAAATTTCATACAGCGTAAAGACATGTCTATTGATAATTTAGAAAATCTATGTATTCAAATTCAAAAACCAAATTCTAAGCCATTTCTCGTTGCGACATGGTACACTCTAAAAACACTCTGGTTAAATTTGGGTTAATTCAACCAGTACGGGGTTAAAAATCCACCTACACAAGTCTGGTTAAAAAAAATTAACCATTTTCCTGGTTAAAAGTCCAAAAAAGTGTACCAAATTTTTGTTGAATTGATAATTTTTAACCAGGAAATGGGTTAAATTTAACCAGAATGTTTTGGGTTGATTATTAACCCAATTCCTGGTTGAATTTAACCAGAGTGTTTTTAGAGTGTACAGGCCACCAAATTCGAATGTTGATAAATTTAATTATTTTGAGACATTTATTGACATGCTTGATGCTGAAAATGTCGAGTACTATTTATTGGGTGACCTAAATTGTGATCTCGGGTCGCCTGATTTAGAGAGTAATTCGAGATCATTAATAGGCATCACTGAGCTCTATGGTTTACATCAATTGATAAGTGAACCGACTCGAATTACTGAAACTTCCTCAACTATGATTGATCATATATTCACCAATACACCAGATAAAATTGTTTGCTCCGGTGTTTCTCATGTCGGTATTAGTGATCACAGCTTAATTTATGCATTCCGTAAGCTTTCAACCGGTCTACACAATAAAGGCCATTCTACAGTAAATTATCGAAAATTTAAAAATTTTAACTCTGAAAGTTTTCGAAGTGATATTTTTTCACAGAATTGGGACGTCATAAGGGCGTATAATAATCCGAATGATATGTGGCGTGTGTGGAAAACGACCTTTAATAACGTAGTGGAAATGCATGCTCCTTTACGGACAAGGCGGGTAAGACTTTCTAAGTCGCCCTGGATGATCACGCCTGAGTTAAAAAGACATATGCATGAAAGAGATATTTTAAAAATCAAGGTTATTCGATCTAAAGATATTTATGACTGAGCTGCTTTTAAGAAAGCTCGCAACTCTGTGAACAATGAAATTAAATTTGCGAAGAAAGCCCATTATATGAATGCTTTTCATGAAAACGAGGGTAATGTGAAAAAAAACTTGGGGTATTATTAATGAATTAACCTCAAGAAAACAAAATAATTCACATGTAAAAGAGATTAAACTTGAAATGGTTCTTCAGTTAGTGACCCCCCGGGGTTATCAGAGATGTTTAACACTCATTTTGCTAGCATTGCCCTAAGCTTATGGAGAAGATACCTTGTGATGAAAATAACTGCTCATATTTAGAATATCTCAATTGCCATATTAGTGGTAATACTTTTGAGTTGAAGTCGACAACTTCATCAATGGTTTGTTCACTTTTGGACAAACTCTGTAAATCTAAAGCAACTGGCCTAGATAAAATATCTGCTAAGCTTCTTCGCTACTGTCCTGACCTACTGTCGGAATCCCTTACCGTAATTTTCAATTGCTCTATTAATACCGGTATCTTTCCTGATGAATGGAAATGCTCAAAAGTCATTCCATTATTTAAACACGGTGAGCGTAGGGACTTGAATAATTATCGCCCAATTTCGATAATCCCTGTTGTAGCGAAGGTTTTCGAGCGAATTATTTATGATCAAATCTATGCCTTTCTTACTGACAACAATTTACTATGTAATAGCCAGTCAGGGTTTCGATGTCTACATTCAACTGTCACCGCGCTTCTTGCATGAGTCCACCAATAACTGGGCATACAACATTGACCAAGGCCGAGTTAATGCTGTAGTTTTCCTAGATCTTAAGAAAGCGTTTGACACAGTTAACCATGGAATTTTACTATCAAAACTGAATGCGTATGGTCTTGGGGGTGCTGTGGGTAATTGGTTTAAGTCTTATCTAAGTGACCGCAGTCAAAAATGCTATGTTAATGTCACCTTTCTAACAATCGTACGTTACTCTGTGGTATTCCACAGGGGACTATTTTAGGACCATTGTTATTTTTACTGTATATAAATGACTTACCAAATTGCCTTGAGCACTCCCAAGCACGAATGTACGCGGATGATACTAATTTAACATTTGCAAGTAACGATATTGACGACATAAATTATCACCTTAATCATGA